GTTTTGCTAGAGATGGTGTTTTTCGCACACCCTGATAGTTATCAACAGTGGACTGAGATCCAGACTTGTAGACGCGAATGATAATTGACGTTTTCCGTGTTTCAGGAAATGAACCTTTTGAAGTATAAACCGAGAATAAATGACTATGCAATCTGGAAAGATTGGTTGCTTGCCTAATAATCGAATTTGGAATCCCATCCGTTCCTGTGCAGTGTGAGTTTTTCAAACGACTTATGTGTTCCTTAATGAGATTTGAGGAGCATCGGTTGTACTGTGCCCTATCTGAAAGTCCGCAAATGAAGGGGACCGGGCCAGATTCAGTATTAAGGTGTTTTACAAAGAAAGTACTATACACCTCCGCCTTGTCAGTGTCATCGGTGAGGAAGACTTTGTTATCATTTAGCAAGAGTGGAAGTTCGTGACCACGCTTAGAGGAAAACCGATGACGGAAGATGTTAACGACGGATTTGTCAGGGTTCGGATTAATAAGAGCAAATGATTCTCTTTGGTTGACACACAAATGGCGTATCCTTGAGGCCATTTTGAAAATCTCTGGGATTCTAAAATTAAAGGATAAAGGTAGGTCGCTCAGCTGCCGTCTCAAATTTCTTAGTCTGTTGAGAAGAAAATGAGGAACAACGGAATCTGAAGAATTAGGTCACTGACAAAGATGTCCTTTTTGCAAGCACCAAAACAAGGAGCAGTAACACTGGTAAGCATAAGATCCAAAATATGATTATCTCTTTTTGCTAGGCTTACCCACTGGGACCATTTAGAACAATTAGTAATATGTTGGAAGGAGCTGTAATCTAGGTGGAAAGCCATTGGAAACCCAGTCTATTTCAGGAAGGTTAAAATCCCCAGTGATTATTTTAATATCGAAATTAGCTTCCGAAATTAAATTTAAGATTTCACAGATTTGCGAATCATCACTGGCTGAAGAGTTTGGGGATTGTGGATACAGCCAATAATTGCCTTTCTTTACGGCTAGAGAAGAATAGGTGCGAAGCCAAAGGTTTTCCGTGAATGAGGAGGCATCCAGGTAATAGAGAGTGTGCTTTAGGATGATTTAGGATAAAGAAGACCACCGCCTGCACGCCTAGTTGTGCGGTCTTGACGATCAAAATCGAAGTCATTTATAAAAAGGACAAAGTCAAAAATCAGAGAATGGATCCAAGATTCTGTTACACACATAATATCAGGCATCATTTCGAGAGCAATGGCTCTGATTTGGGCCGTCTTGTTTATAACAGACCTGACTTTCAATAATAAAATGTATAATGTGTTTCGAAAAGCAATGTTATTGTAGATCGTATTTAAAAAGATTTCGAGGCGGATATGGAAGCTGTGAATTAATGAGGCTTGGAGAATAAGTACCAGTTAGTCTGGAGTTATTGACGGACGTGGAGTCAGCAAGAGAAGACTGGGTATGAGACCTAAAGGATGTGGGGATATAGTTTTCGAGCATTGGAATGGTATGGGAATTAGAACATGGATAGGCTTGTTGAAAGTTAAATGGTGGAGGAAGGGGTGGAGGAGGGAGCCTAGAAGGGAAGTAGAGGCTGGTGGGGGAGGGTAGGCGGTTATAAGAACAAAAGTGTGGGAAAACAGGTCTAGGTTGGAAGTCAAAGGAAGTGGGTTGACGTACCAGAGAGCAATTGGCCTTAAGAACTGGGAAGCCTGAATTAGGCTGGGGCATAAATGAATTAGGGCAATTCACGTATGAATTATTTTCCGGATATATAGTAGGGCTTTGGTAAGTAACCGGTACGCAGGACAGCTAATTATTTGGGAATATAATTGGGGCTGCAGGGTTTGTAGACGTGCTGGGCTGAACAGACGTAGTAGATCTAAGAGAAGGCGGCGTCCCTCTAGATGTAACTGTACTACCTTTCTTTTGGATCGGAATCTGATTCAGTTTTGGAGTCTCGCCGTTCTGACGCAAGCCAGGGGTGACTTAACTGTAGAGCTTACAGCACCCAGTTGAACAGGGGAACTTATCAGTCTAGCTGATGCAGACAGATTTTCATTCGTTCCAGGGGGGCTATCCGGAGGATACGAAACGACAAATGGGGCTACTCCTGCTGCTACAGCTAGTTTGGGGGTAGGCAAATGATTCAAGTGGCTTGAATGAAATGGTAATGTAAGAGTAAGGGGAAGGAGGGAGTCAGATGTCACAGGAGTAGGACAAGCTGAATCCTCACGGACACTTGTATTATGGCCGAGTTAATGAGCGCTAGACTGAGAAGCAGTGTGTTTAAGTGAGAAGAGAGAACCGTTTCTACGCTCCATTGGTGTAAGTTCATGACAAGAAAATTTTTGCATTTTCCAGATACGCAGGGACAAGATCTCGATGGGCAAATATGGTGTCAACCACGATTGATGAAAATAGTTTGACCTAGATGGGTGGAATTTTGCAACGGGAGGACAGGCGCTTAGCCTCGGCTTATTTGAAAGTTGAAACCACATAAATACAGGAAATTGGTCGCAACATCATTTGGCCTAGCAGAGCGAAGAATATTTTTCAACAAACAGTTGTAAGCATGCCTTGGTTTACCACTAGATTCAGTAGCGCTTAAGTGAATAATTATATCGAGACGTCTAAATTTTTCAGAGGGGATGTCGCAGATGTTCCCCTGGAATATATTTTCAAGAACTGACAACAAAGTGCCAAACTTAAGCATAAAGTCATTGCAGTTGTTAAGTGCAGACGGATTAAGCTGCCTACCAGTTACAACGAGTGTCGACTGACTAGTAATACCATCTGACTTAGATTTCAGTAAGCCTTCTGACTTAGGTTTATTTAAGAAATGCTTACTTACAGAGGCCGAGAGCTTGCGCCGACCTGTGACTTTTACTCTCATCTTGTATCGAGGCAAGTTCTAATTAGGGAGACTTGGCAGATCAGGTGACTAAGTTTTTGCAAGAGGCTAAAGATGCTAAAAATAAACTTCACAGGATTATTATATTCCTTTTCTATTTGTGCATGTCGCACTTTGACATTTGTTTGTTTGAACTAGCCGGGGTTGTATATGTTAGTTTATATTTTGGTTTTAGGGTTGCGCGCCCTGTTAGATCTCATCCACATCTGCATTATTTAGTCATATGATAGAAATTCATTATTGCCCATTACCTTGCCTTAGTTATTTCATTTTACCTTATGTAATCTGGTTGCAGAAACTGAGGAACCGTTCCCGGGTGAGGCTACTAAAGACGGTTCCTGATTGGACAAATATTTGTGTCAAACTTTAGTATATATAAATTTATATATCATTTCTATAAATCATTGCAGTTATAAAGTACAGATAGATTAAGGTGCCTACCAGTTGCAACAGGTACTTTCTGTTTTCCTCGAAACATACGCGGTTGGCTTTTCCGAAGTACCTGTCCGTAGGTTATTTTCTAGAACATAATTATGTTCTAGAAAATAACCTACGGACAGGTACTTCGGAAAAGCCAACCGCGTATGTTTCGAGGAAAACAGAAAGTACCTGTTGCAACTGGTAGACAGCTTAATGTATGGGAAAATGGGGAACAAACGAGATGCTAAGGTGTTCAAGCTAAGCTTCGCTTGAACACCTTAGCGTCTCGTTTGTTCCCCATTTTCCGTCCCTAAATAGACCCTTCTCGCTAAGAGACCTTCTTGTCTGATACGGTGCCTTGTCGGCTTGCTCGCTAAAGCGCGTCGCTTTTCCTTTCCCGAACCGAGAGGTCGTTTATGGGAGATTGTCTGCATACAGCATTTGCGGGTAAAATCTGATGGCGGGCGCATCTCAAGAACGTTAAACAAACGATCAGACACAATCTTGGCTGCTTAGTTTACCTCGGTGCGCTAAAAAATCAAAGCAATATGGTAATGGTAGTGAACACCTGATAGTATATTACATTCCAATGCTGACATTCCCAACTGATTATTGTCAATTTCGATCGCTTGGCGTACAGTCCACCAGCTAAGCAGGTCAAATAACAGGCACATCCTTACTGCCATATGTTGGCTGACGTTGCCGGACGGTCCACTGGAAGCTTAAAGCCACGAAAAATCCAAGTTTGAGCAAGCTGCCTAAAATTTCCTAGAGGGGTAACCGTGTCCTAAAGTACCTTCTGATATACTCTTAGGCTGAACATAAGGTCTTTATAGCTATTTTATATATTGTTATCGCATCAGACGCGTAAACCTTGCACGCAGCTTCAGTGCTCGTTTTAGTACTACACCATACGCGCTTCCAGAACGAGGATTTAGCCTGCAAAATTCCAGCAACGTCATTCTCCTTAGCATTATTGCCGTTTCGACCTTTTTTGTCGGCAAAAATTAATGGGCGTGGTCCACTTTAAAGAACTGACCTCAGTGGTTAACTCAAGATATCAAAAAAGGGAGCAGTAAAAAAGGAAGGTTGTGGAAGAAGTTTCATTAAAGCAACAATAATTCGGCCTTTACAAAGTATGAAGTCCAAATGAACGAGATTTCGAGGTTCATTTGTCCCACCGAGCCTTTAAAAATCCGAAATTGATTAACAGCTATTCGCAAAAAACACCCGTCATAGGAGTCCGATTCTTGTCACGAGGCCGGGTGACAGTTCGGAGATATCGGACAGCACAAACAAAGCTAAGCATTTTTCTCAGATCTTCCAATCTGTTTTCTCAAGGGCAGCAGTTTTCATCCCACCTACTGCTGGGAGCATTGGAACCCCGATTATTGAAAATATTATTTTACGAGAAGAAGCGATTTTCGAAGAACTAAGAAGCCTGAGGAATTTAAATCTCCCGGCCCGGTTCGGGATGCTTGCAACACGCCTCTATCATTTCCAGTATAAAAGTTGACTCTGGGCTGCTGTGCTTTGTTTCCAAGCTTTTATTTAGCATGCACACACAATTGTTTTGTTCCACAGGTTGCGAAGTCGCCAGGATGCAATGCCATCGTTATCTGATCCTCTTCTTTTTTAGTCCTCCGTTGCAACTTCCAACTCGGGCTTGCACTGATTACCTATTTAGGGCCATCCACCATGGAGGTTTCAACTGTGTTTGCTGTGATTGGAATTGTCACCGCGGCTTATTGCGGGTTTCATCTCTTTCGTCCCTTTATAACCTTCTTTCTGCTACGATTCTACCTCTCCAAACGGGCAGACCTGAAAAAAGCAGGCGATTGGGCTATTGTAACTGGGGCGACCGACGGCATTGGCAAAGCGCTCGCCCACGAGTTGGCCCGTGACGGGATGAATGTTTTTCTAATAAGCAGGTCAACTGAAAAACTGACCAAAGTGGCTAACGAGATTGAGTCCCTTTTCAAGGTGAAGACCCAAATTTTCACCGCCGACTTCACTACCGTAAGTTTTTTCTGCCGTTCCTACCCTTGCCGCTTATTGCACCTTGTTCTGAGGCTTGGGTCAAAGACAACGTAGCTTTATCCTCATCAGCTGCTGTCTTTTAATAGTCATGTATTGGCCTGTGGTAACAGTTCATTAAGACTGACCACGTTTGCAATCAGTTCACGAGGCCATTTGTGGCCTATGCCTTCGCACCTACTCGATCTGCACTCACGGTGCCTTGAACCCGGAATCCTAATTCTGCCGAGAAGTCTGACTATGTCGGTAGCTCTTGGCTGTCTCGCTTATGTGCTATTCTGTGTGCAATGTCACGCATCCGAGCGTTTAGTGCCTTATATCCCTCCTTTAGATCAACTTTTATGGAACATTACAGTTCAGGATCGTCATGTCACAGATCGACATTGGGCCTTGTAATGTTTTGTAGAGTAGTTGATGTGGATGCAACGAGTAGGCCGGCAATGTAGCGCGTCCTTCGGATCGTGCTTTCAGCGAACCCGGATTTCTCATATTAGTCCGTATCGATGTTTTATGCTCCTTCAGTAACTGATTCTGGCAGCCACCTTTCCGCGCATATTGTTCATTTGCCATTCTACGTGTGTGCCTACGGCGTTGCTTGATGCATTGTCTTCCTCTTTTAGACCGACTTTTACGAAAGTTTACAGCGAAAAATCGAAGAACTTTCTTCAGTCTCCATTCTCATCAACAACGTCGGCGTCGCATACTCTCATCCGGATGCCCTAGCCACCTGCAAAGAGCTGACTCTCGAGAAACTGCAGGGTATGATTGTCTGTAACGTGACGTCAACAACCTGCATGAGCCGCATCACCTTACCAAAGATGCTAACCTCGCCGCCACCGCATGGTGTCCATCGCTACATTGTCAATATTTCATCAATTTGTGACCGCTTCCACTGCCCTTATCTTTCTGTGTACAGTGGCACCAAGGCCTTTATAAATAATTTTACCGCCTCATTAGCTGGTGAATTGGTAGGAACCTGCGTTAAGGTACAAACTATTAGTCCCGGCGCTGTTGTTACGGCTATGTCATTCGACAAACGCCCGGGTTTCTTTGCACCCCAGCCTTCCGCGTTTGCGTCATCCGCGCTCTCCATGTTGGGTGTGGGAAGCGAGAGTTGCGGTTACTTTGCTCATGAACTGTTTCGAACCGCCATTCTTGCCGTCCCCGAGTGGCTGCGCACTGCACAAATTAAAAGCCGTATGCTGGAGTTTCGAGACGTGTACTACAAGCGTCAAAAGTCAAAGGATTTGTAAGTACACTGTCCGTTTCCTGATTTTGTGAACTATTCCAACTGTGTATTTCTGCTATTGCACGTTGTCACCTCCTATAACTTTTATTGGACTTACCTACTGCCCCTCGTTAGCCCGTTGTACTCGTTTCCATTGCGTACTTTCGTATGACTGGACATTGAATTTTCCAAATAAAATGTAGACCTAACCACCCAGTAGACTTTTTATCGATATCTTTGTTTTGTCATTGGTGTGCAGTCGGGTTGTTGACCAGCCCCAAGTTATCGATTTGTTCTCTGTCCTCAGTATTCGGATATCACTGTCAAATCATCCCTCAACTCCTGATATGGGTTCAAATTCCAACAAATTGCAGATGGAGGCCGAACGGGCTGCAGCGGGACTCACGTCTCTTGCCGTACTTCCTTACGATCGTAGTTGCCGCAGCAGCTGTGCTCATTGATTGGTTAATACGGTTAATATTCCCGACAGCAACTGACAAGACAGAGCCCGTGGCTCACTTGGTAAAGCGTTGGACTTACTAACGTTCTATGACTGTTGAATGTGGTTGTGAGCTTCAGATACCCCACAAAACCGGAGCTCGGTAGGTCTAGTTGATGATTGCCGATAAGACCGAAATGGCCATCCTACTACCCCATTTCTGTCTGCGGTCCCTCTTCGTGTATTAGGTCGCTGTGCGTTTCCCATCAGGACGCTGGACGGAGCCCTAAAGCCTTAAATTTTCATCATATCACCTCGGAATACCCACTATCTTAGCTATATATATATGTATATGTACACATATATAATGGTAGAGGGGGCGCTCACTGATCGTTTTTCCGGGACTCACTCATCCCGTTGTGCCTTACGGACTCACTTTTGAACCCAACCAGCAGCCGCACAACGTTGCATGTAGGCAGAGTGTTATTACCGACAAAGACATGGGAGAATGGAAGGGCCATTTCTGGCTCATTAGTTGTCGTCAGCCAGTCATACCCGACCCCGAAGTGTGGGACACCTGAGATTCGACCCCGCGACATGTTAGTTAGAAGTCCAACGCCTCTGACTACTGAGCCAAGAGCTCGTTATCTTGTCGGTTGCGATCGAGAATATACAATGGTGTTCCACACTTTGGGGTCAGGTATGACTGACTGACGACGGCTAATAAGCTAGAAATGGCCATTCCTTTCTAGTACAATTGGTGTCTGACGGCCTCGTATGGCGCCGACAGGTCGATCCTACTACTGGCTGACTTGGCGTCGAAGTGCTAGGCATCGACTACATATTGTAATTTGTTCCCGGCTCAGCCGAGTACTTTTGAACCGTATGGCATTGCCGACAAAGACAAGGGAGACTGGTCTTTGTCTTTGTCGGTAATACTATGCTGCCTATATCATGCGTCGCTGTGCGGCTGCTGGTTGGGCTCGAGAGAGAGAGCCCGTAAGGCACAACGGAACGAGTGAGTTCCGTAAGAACGATCGGTGAGCTCTTCCTACCATTACTTTTGCATTGTTGAAGCCGAATTAAGGATTATTTTCGCGGCAATGCGTAGAGACGTGCGATTGTTCATCCTCTCGCTTTACAGCTGGAACCTTTTCTGGCATGCGCGTTCCTAGTCGTTTATCGGTTCTGCCGCAGTAGTTGACCGGACAGTAGACGATTGAAGCAGTGAACAACTCCTGACATGTCCTCAGGCGAATGTTGCCCTTCCACTCCTAGCATGAATGTTGGATCGCTGAATGGCGTGTATTGAGGGCCGACTATCAAACCGAGAGACTTATTTCCGTCAAATGACAGTTCGACCATCGGTTCCGATGATGTCCACCGTGTGCCCCACAGTTGCAGCAGCAATGGGAGCAGGGACGGTGACTTACGCAGGGGTTTATAGTGCCGGTAGACTTGCGTAGCATCTACCTACACTCTCTCCTCCTCC